TATATATATATATATAAGATAATTACATTTTAAAATCATGATTTTAACTAATTCGTGGTCTATGACGTTGTCAAGTCTCAAGTATATGTGCCTATTGATGTGGCTGATTTGGGGGTACATTGTGGAAGGTCTTGGGCTGGATGATGCGGTAGCCACATGTAATGGAGAAGGGGATAGATTAGAGCCTGGCTTTGGGCATGATTTATGGGGCATGATTGCCTTCAATTGAGCTGTTTGGTGTAAATAAGAATTAGATTTTTATTAAATTTTGATAGAAATCAATAGAATGTATGGTTGAATTACTATTGATCCCATAAAATGTGTGATTAAAATTAATTGTGGAGTTTAACTTAGATTTAATTTAATTTGAACCAAAAATGGGCCAAGTAAATTAATATCTACATAGTTATAACTAATGAAATATACTGTCTCAATGTAATATTTTTTAAAGTGACTGACAATTATTGGATTATTATGATATAAGTTTATGCTATTTTTACTTTAATTACAAATTTGAAGAATTAAATAACAAAAATACTTAAATTGAGCAATTGATAATAAAAGCATCATTTTTTTTTGTCGTACCTGAAATCTAATTTCAATTCACAACTTACATCCTTCATTTTCCAGAGTCTATTTAACACCACTCTCTTCACCATATTACTTTTACAATTCTCGATTCTTATGAAATGTGAAAATAATAATCAGTAGTATTTAGTAATATGAAATTTAAAATTAGTGTTTGATTTGAACTGAATTTATATTTTCTATCTAAACGGAGTTTTTTTGAAAAAAATCAAAGAAGATATGATTCATTACTCACAAAATTAAAAGATAACACAATAAAATAAACAAAAAAACTTTATTAATGTGTCTTCATTCATAACTACACTTTGTACTGTGAAAGCATCTCCCATTCTCAGTAATTTTTAGAAACTAAACACCGTGTTCATGTACAAAAAAGTCTTTCTATTATGAAAGTCGAAAGAAAAAGTTCAAGATTTGTAATATAAGAAAAACAAGAATCATGGTTCAATGGCAATACTCCAGCGGCACAATGGGCAGATTTGACTGATATCTAACCATTTTTTGATGCATTCGAAGTGAAATCCATGGTTGCAATCCTGAAGACACTGGAACAATTCCTGGTCTTTGAATTCAGACAAACAAATAAAGCATTCGCTATCTCCACTTTCTTGTTTGATGTAAATATCGACGATTATTTCATCCTTCTTCCCTTCCATCATCTGGGATCGAGTTGAAGTTGGTGATGATGGTGGCGACCGCAGTGGTTGACGATTTACGACTGGCTGTTCATTTTGTTCCGATTTTGCATATCTATCCCGCCTCTTTGTCAGCAGACATTGAATCAACAAAGGAATCACAGTCGAGGCGAAACAAATAGTAAAAGGTACAAAATATCAGGCATCATTAAGGAAGATGATAAAGAAGAGAGATAAGGCGATTAGAGCTGACAAAAATTTGCAATGCACAATGTATTTATATACTAGTGTGTGTGAGTCTCTACAAGGAAATAAAAGATGCCTATTTGTTTTCAGTCAACGTAAGCATTTTTATATTACCTTAATGGTTTAAAGACTACTGTATGCATCAAGATTTGCTCTAGATTTTTTTATTTTAGGTAACTTTTTTTCTTTGTTGTTAATCATAGAATTTATTTTAACTTTTAAACTAGTTGAGAATTTAGTTAAGAAAAGCTTAATTCTTCAAATAAGTCTTGACTTACTTTTTTAATCTCAAATTTTAGTTTAGAATAGAACATGGTCAATCACAGGATTTTATACAGATATAAACTTGACGAAATTTCATTGACAATTAAAAAATAAAAGAAAATTGCCAATCAAAAATTACCATTTCAACACTTGGAAATGGCCCCAATCGTTGGAGCGATGCTACAAGTACATGGCTCTTTCACAAACAAAAAAAAAAAAAAGCCATACAGGTGCTACCAGTGCACGACTTGAAAGAAGCCTGTGCATTTTTCCGTGTCCGTAGGGAAAATCCCGCCATTGACCCTGTGCGACCAGTTTAATCCATTCTCCTGGGGAAAAACATTGTTCAATTGGATCGACTTTCGAATTATTTACAAACTACAACACTTTAAATGATTTACAATAATTCCAAACAAAATCAATCATTTCTTTAAAATTAGTAAAGTGTATATATATTGTGTACGATTAACACATATTTTTTGAACTTCTTTCAATGATCTGATTAAAGATAATTCAATTTTAAATCATGATTTAAACAATTCCTGGCCTATGGCACTATCAAGTCTCAAGTATATGAGTGTATTGATGGGGTCAGATTTGGGGGTATATCGTTGAAGGTCTGGGATTGGATGATGGGTTAGCCACATGTAATGGAGAAGGGAATAGATTGGAGTGTGGCTTTGGGCCTGATTGATGGGCACGATTGCCTTCAGTTGAGCTGTTTGGCTTAAATAAAAATTAAATTTTGATAGAAATCAATAGAATGTATGGTTGAAATATTTTTGATCCCATAAAATATGTGATTAAAATTAATTATTGACTTTAACTTAGATTTAATTTAATTTTTAATGGAACCAAAAATGGGCCAAATAAATGAATGTCTAAATAGGTATATCTAGTAAAATATATTGTCTAATTGTAGTATTTTTAAATTGACTGACAATTAATGGATTCTTACCATTTAAGTATACGCTATTTTTACATTAATTACAAATTTGAAGGACTAAATAACAAAAATACTTAAATTGAGCAATCAATGATAGAATCATCATATTTTTCATTGTATGTACCTGAACTCTAATTTCAATTAACACCTTATATCCTTTATTTTCCAGAGTCTATACAACACCACTCTCTTTACCATATTACTTTTACAATTCTCGATTCTGATGAAATGTGAAAATAGTAATAAGTAGTATTTAGTAATATGTGATTAAAATTAGAGTTTGATTTGAACTGAATTTATAAATTATTTTCTATCTAAATGGAGCTTTTTGAAAAAAAAAAAACCCAAGAAGATGTGATTCATTACTCCCAAAACTAAAAGATAATACAATAAAATAAACTAAAAGAACTTTATTGACCCATGTTCATTCATTGTTACACTTTGTACACTATATTCCTTGTCAACATTCATTCAGTGAACGCATCTCCCATTCTGGGTAACTTTTAGAAACTAAACATCATGTTCATGTAAAAAAAATGTCTTTCTAGAATCAAAATCGAAAGAAAAATTTCGAGATTTGTAATATAAAAAAAAAAAATAAGAATCATGTTTAATGACAGTACTTTGACGGCACAATTGGCAGGTTTGAGTGATATCCAACCATCTTTTTGATGCATTCGAAGTGAAATCCATGGTTCCACGATGGAAGACATCGAAACAATTCCTGGTCTTTGAATTCAAAATAGACCGACATGTATCTCCACCTTCTTGTTTGATGTAAATACCGATAACTATCTGGGATTGATTTGAAATTGGTGATGATGGTGGCGACAGAGGCGGTGGGGTGGTTTACGATTTTCGACTAGCTACTCATTTTGTTCCGATTCTGCATATATCCACCCTCTTTGACAGCAGACATTGAGTCAACAAAAACATCACAATCGGGGCACAACATATAGTTCAAAATATCAGGCATCATTAAGGAAGACGATGGAGAAGTGAGACAAAGCGATTAGAGCAGACAGAAATTTGCAATGCACAATGGTATTTATATACTAGTGTATAAGTAAGTCTGTACAGAGAAATAAGTAGTTATACTCTACAAGGAATCAAATATGCCTATATGTTTTCAGTCAACGTAAGGATTTTTGTATTACATTAACAGTCTATTGTATGCGTGGAGATTTGCTCTATATTTTTTATTTTTAGGTAACTATTTTTTTGTTAATCATTGAATTTGTTTTAACTTTTAAGCTAGTTGAGAGTTTTAGTTCAGAAAAGCTTAATTCTTGAAATAATACTACAAAAATAGCCTTTTACAACGTTCAAAAAATGTTGTTAAAGACCTTGTGCAACGTTTGGACATATGTTGCAAATCTCAGTGTTGCCATAGAATGGAAGGATATGACCATGTTCAAAAAATGTTGTCGAAAGCTTTCGGCAACGATTTTTAAACGTTGCGGTAAGTGTCTACAGCAACGTTCAAAAAACATTGCCGAAAGTCTTTCACTACGTTCAGAAAACGTTGCCATAAGTGTTTTGCAAAAGCTTTTTTAATAGTAATTTATGTAGATTGACTCGCAAAATTGAAAATTATAAATTTTGGAATTGTATAAAAATTGATAATTTCATTATAAATTTTTGAATACATAATGTGAAGCATGACCATATTCTCCTATACACTTGAATACATAATGTAAAAAATGCAAGCCTGCTATTGAAAAACATAAACAACTTTTCTGCATCTAATTCATATTGAAATTAATGATATTTCAAGATGCCCTTGTGCCAAGCTTTAGTGTCATGAGCTGCTCACCCCCAACTTCCAAACCCAAAGTATGAAATTTTTCTGTCCAAAAAAAAAAAAAAAATATATATATATATATATATACACACTAATTGGTAAAAATCTCATATACCACAAAGTGCATGTTTGGTATGCAGTATTGGATAAAATTGGAGGATAAAAAACAAGATTTTAGCTTCTTTTTCTACTTTTATATTGTCTAATATTATTCATTTTTCCTTGATAAACATATCAAAATAGCTTGTATATAATCAAAGTAATTTATAGTACGAGCCATAGCTGGATGGAGAGCAATTGAACCCGACACCTTTAAGCCTTATTCAAAATATTCAAATTTATGGTCAGACAATAGCTAGTTGAATTTCTATCGTATAGAAGATACATGGAGAAGCACAAAGCATGAAATGACTTACTGAAGAGACCAAAATAGTCTGCTGCTCCAAGAGGCCTATCACATAATTGCAAAAGATATATTGGTAGAAACATGTGGGTTATAGGCAAGTTCTCCTTAATGTGTTGACAAAATGTATGCAACCAAATTTGGATTGAAACAAGGAGTCAAAATTTAAGTTCAGAGTAGATGACAATATGTTAGTGGCTTGTGTGTGAAACAAAAACAAATGAACTCCTATCTTCCCACAGCCAATTAATGAGAAAACTTTTGCCTTGGAGCAGCATGTTAAGTGATGTGGTAAGCACAGCATTGGAGAGTACAATAGGCACAAGTATTGGAGAGTAAAATTGGAGAGTACACTGGTACAATGTCCAATCTAAAACTGGGAAACAAGATAGATTCATCTGATATCTCTCCAGCGACAACTTCTAGAGGATCTGCCATACCCTTGTGCTTCTACCATAATATCACATCCCAAAAACAATTTGGAAGTTTTATATTAGTACCAGAGAAAATTGCATATTTCAGAGTAAAGTCAGCAAGAAATAAATGCAATATGATATAGGAGGTCTCTAATGTAAGTGCTGAACACTTCTAATGCAAAAGAAATTTTCTAACAGCCCTAATGTAGAGCCTGGTAAAGTACGATGCACGTTCGAGAACATCAATTCATCCCAATGAATCTACTAAAAATTTGCAATAAGAGGAAACATAATAGCATTTATACTTGCAAACTGATAAATTTTCCAGAATTATTTGAAAATGGAAGTGTTATTTCCATTGAGTTTTCTTGCATAATATACACAACAAGAGTTTCGAATCATATGCAGTTAATTACACAGCAATACAAGGAAATTATTACAGCTTTTAATTGCAATGATCCTAGCTGGGAATGATTTCTAAAATTGTGCCATTGACCAACATTGTCAATGCCAAGAGTTATGTAATTGTGTTGCCATTATTTATTCCCTTAACAGAATGTATTTGTCATTCTGTATTTCTTTCCTCAGCAGATTGCACTGCCATTGTGTTGCCATCCTTTTAGCCATTTTCTAATCTTTCCTTATCAGTGCTTCTCTTAATATCCCCCCTCAAGTTGGAGTGGGAAGATTCATGAACACCCAACTTGGTTCGAAAAGTGTAGAAGCTATCTCTTGGTAAAGGCTTTGTAAATATATTCGCCGGCTGAGTCGATGAGGGAATGTAGCGAGTAATGAAAAGACCCATGGCAACCTTCTCTCGAACAAAGTGATAATCATGTTTAATATGCTTAGAATGAGCATGAAACATAGGACTAATGGACATATGGAGAGCACTGATATTATCACAAAATAACTGAGTTGGTTGTGGAAGCAAAATACCAATATCTCGTAATAAGACAGTGATCCAAGTGAGTTCAGCAGTGGTTGATGCCATAGAGCGATATTTAGCTTCAGAACTGGATCGAGATACTGTTCGTTGCTTTTATGAACACAAAGAGATTCAAATTGCACCTAGAAATACATAAAACCCTGTTGTACTTCGATGAGTTGTTGGGCATCCTACCCAGTCGGCATCACTAAAACCATAAAGAGAATTGCAGCTATTGGAAAGATAGCGTAGACCATAGCTTTGCATGCCTCTAAGGTACCTTGAAATTCTTTTTATAGTTTTCAAATGAGATAAGGTTGGATTGCTAAAAGATTGGCATACTTGATTGACAGCATGAGCAACGTCCGGTCTCGTGAATGTCAAGTATTGCAAGGCTCCAACAATGCTGCAGAAGACAAAATGATCTATAGGATCATTGTTAGACTGAGTTGAGGATTCCTTCATTGCCATAGGAGTTGCGATCTAAGTACTTTGAAGCATTTGAGTTCGTTGAAGGAGGTCATGAATGTATTTTTGTTGAGTAAGAAATAATTCATTGGGAAAAGGTTTGATCTCTACTCCAAGGAAGTAACTTAATGTCCCAAGATCTTCGGTAGCAAACTCGTTACCAAGTTGATCAATGAGCTTTGTGATGAAATCATCAATATTCCTTGCCACAAGATATCATCTACATAAATGAGGAGAAGCATTCTGATAGTGTTTGAATGATACACAAATAATGTGAGTCTGCCTTGCTACATGAAAATCCA